CAAAACCTGTAATTTTGAAAATGTCAAATGAATAGAAAATTACAACTGAGAATTGCTAAAACTCCAATGATCTCTATAATTTAACACATGAGTTTTAATGTCAGGTTTTGGAGTTGGTGGTTTCAGAGCCCTGATGTTGGCAGATCCAGCTGTCAAGATGGACGGAAGGCACTCTGCAGAGCTATTGTTTGGATTACTGTAGTGCCTCCCATTAACTCTAGTTGTCTTTTCTTTAGTTTGGGCTTATTGCGACATCTCTGAAATCGATTTCCTCTGCTCCTCTCCACCGCTGGGTTATGTTCACATGATCCACCAGGTGTAAAGCCCCAGACTTGCACAAACCCACACATGTGTACGCATTCACACAAAATCAATATATTTCATTTCAGAACTCTCTCTTATCTGTCCCTCTGTGCTTGGATTGGTAAAGAAAATTAACCTACACCTTTTCACAAAAAAAAATACTATTGCAAAATGCTGTGGCAAATATGAAAGTCCCTTATCTTGTACCATAAAGATTGTCTGTCAGTTTCATGTAAAAGTAATACTTGACATCCAGGATGAGCTTCTGAGTAATATTTTACTTGAATGGTGCACATTTTGTCAGCGAATAAATATGAGTGCAGTGTTTTAATTGTCATCAAGTGTCTGCAATCTCTAAATCTATAATGTAAGTAGAATCTGTGGTGGTATTAAAATAGCAATGAATGTAATTATTGATTTTTTTCTAATTGCGAACTGATTTTTTTTCTCACAATTAAAACAAGAATTTGAGGTTGGATTGCAAATTTAATCTGCAGGCGCATGAACAGGTCAGAGCAGCTGTGTTGTGTTTTGTGCTTTAACACTGATCTCCAAGGCTTTTCATAATGTTTCTTTTTCATTAAACGTTTTGATGCCTTTGCTCTGCAAACCGCCCACTTTTTATCCCACATAATAAGATTTTGGTGTCCATTTAAAATCAATGGCAATGACTGGGAGGAGCTTTAGCGTAAGCCGCTAACAGCAGCTAATGTGGCAAGGAGGATTCATCACGTTGTGACAGATTCTATTAAACCACTCTAAAAAGGTCAATCAGTTCAGAAACGTGTTTATAGATATTTTCTCCTGGCCTTTCTGGTATGCTGCTCTGTCTCTGTCTGGCTCCAAAGTTGTTTTAGGTGTGGTCCAACATGTCTTTGTATTTCCACAGAGCTGGAGGTGACCATTGAAAATATTGATTATGTTGAGCTAAAGCCGCTAAAGGCTTAATAAGATCATCTTACTATTGTGAAGAATCTTTTAGCCGAAAGGGCTTTGGCTGCAACATGTTTCTTTTATCTCTTCCTCTCTTTTTATATTTAAAGCACTAGACATTTTTTTTTTGGAGTATTCAAACACTAAACGAAGAAGTATGACTTGACCAGGATCATGCACAAAAACAATATAAACATATAATAAGCCAGATGTGAATTTATAGCTCGAAAATGCACCGTCTTCCCAACTTTCATACCTCTGCTTTCAAACAAGGGTTGATAGCTCAAAGTTAATTGACCTCCTTCTTGAACTTTAGAAATGACACAAAATGTCAGCTGTACCTTTAAAATGCAAAATAATAATGATTATAATTTAAAAATCGATGCCTGCCGTCTGTGTATTGACTCTGTATTGGGATGAAAGAGCATATCAGTGTTATACTATATTGATTAGCTTCCCCCCACTTTAGTTCAGAACATTCAAATAGCACCACATTGGCCAAATAAAGAAACAAGAAAGTTGCTAGACAACAATTCAGTTAGAATCCATATAAAAGTACATGTTTTTTTTTTATTGCATTGCATTTTTAAGCTTAACTTGGAGATTCTTAGGTTGATAGGTTATTTGCATACCTTGCATTTTAAGGTGAATATAAAACACTGGGAGATACTGATATGCAGAAGACCTGGCTTGTGTAGCTGGCCTATATTTTGCACTTTTCAAGCTTTATGATAGATTGAGAACAATTGGATACAAATTGAACAACAATTGAATACAAATTGAAAGGGTTTGTTTGAGTTTTCTTTTGTACTTCCTATAACACACAAGGCTTGATTAATTTAAAGTTAAACTTATTTTATATAAAGGAACTTCACTTTGTTTGCATGTTAAACAACGTACCATCTTCTTTTTAATAGCTTTATTCAACGCTTAAGAATTTAATTTAAGTTTCAATAAGTGATATGTACAGTGTGTTGCTTAGTCCTCTCTGCTTTGTGTATCTTACTAATGAACATCTTTGAGAAGCTGTTGTGCCTGACTTCGTATCTTTCTTTCTTCCTCCCACTTTACCTATGCTAAATGAACACATAAAACTAAGCCTATTGTTCAGTATGAGGATTAAACATCCTTGAGTTGAGAAGGTGAATCACTTATAACGTCTCGGGTTACGTATGTAACCCTAGTTCCTCGAGGGAACGAGACGCTGCGTCGAAAACGCTAGGGGAACGCCGTTCAGCGTGACGGGCTCTGAATCTCGTGTGTAATCAGACTAACAGCTGGGCGAGAGTTTAATTTGGCCACAGCACGAGTTACCACCTCCAAAAGCTCCTCATACTGGGGCGACTGAGGGGGCGAATCCTCATCGGCGCCCACCACATCAACCTCCTCGGAGGAAGATAGGCGGAGCGCCGAGCTCGCTCGCCGGGGGGAAGTAACCGCAGAACGGGCTTCCGATCCCGGTGAGCGAGCGCCGGATCTGGCGGGTGAGGAAGAAGATAGGGACTCGCCCGTCTCCATTCCCTCCGCCAGTTCCAGCTGCGAACCCCACGAGCGCAATCGCCGCTGCGCCTCGGCGGCAGCGGGACCCGCGCCGCGGGGAACGCTTGCGAAAGCACCCTCCGCAAAGAGTGCCTTTCGGGAGCGGAGAGCATGCATGGGAAGACACTCGCAATGCGGGCAGTCAGCGCTCTCAAGAGCTGACTCAGCATGCTCCGCTCCCAGGCAGACAACGCACAAACTGTGTGTATCCGCACCCGTAATGAAACGCGGGCAGGGAGGAACACACAGTTTGAAACGCTGGCTGCCTTCGCCCCTACTCAAATGATGTGACTTGTCATGTGCTTTGGACATAATTTCTCTAGCCCTACGGGACAGACAACACCAAATATGACTCACAAACAGATATCAGACTGACACACACACAGAGCGCTTGCTGAATGACAAAAAGCTGACGCTGGTCTCACCGCACGTGCTTTTATAGCCTCCTGGGTGCTGCCGCCCCCGCCGTGACGTCTCGCCCAGCTGTTAGTCTGATTACACACGAGATTCAGAGCCCGTCACGCTGAACGGCGTTCCCCTAGCGTTTTCGACGCAGCTCGAGTTCCTGAAGAGGAAATGAAGTTTTCCTGTCGTTGCCCACTGGGATGTTGGGGGAAGTTCAACAAGCATTGTATTATTCCCTTCTTCTCTGAATAAAACATACATAGAGCATTGTTGAGATTTTTTGTGTTGCACTATTTTTTTCATGGTTTGTCTCCAAAGTAAATTTCTTAGCACAAAAGAGTTGATTCTATGGAAGTTGTTGAGGAAATATCTGAAGGTATGTCAAAATTGGCTATCCATATTAAACCAATATGTGGGTCATTCAGACATGATCTTCCAGCATCCAAAATGATATTAAGGTGACTATGGCTTTTTCCAGAGATTGCTGAGAGTTTCTGAAAAGGTGAAATTGTAAAGCTTTTCCTTTGAAAAAAAACCAAGGCTAGAAATTCGCTGCAAGGTTTAACGAAACAAACCATAATTCTAATTATTAACATTTAATGATCAGCTATGCTGACTCCCTTCACCTTTCTGGCAGAATTGTGGTATTACTTTTATTTCAATAATTAAAAGTAGACCATTGATAGGCCAGTTCATGTTGTGTTCATTTACACCGCACCTCAGTCATGCTGGAAGCTTGTCAGCAGTTAGTCAGAGGTTTATTCATCCTCACAGTCTGTGAGCAAGGGCTTAAAATTCACTTGGCAAACAGTTACTCTCTCCCACAGAAAAAAAGAGAGAGATCTTTCTCTCTATATAAGTTTTCTCATACTTTCCCATTGTTTCATCACACCCTTGATCTTTCATTAACTTTAATGATGCAGACAAGATGAAGGAAATGAGTTTATTCTGGTTTGTATGCTGTCAGCATGCGTTAGCTAAGTGAAAGACAAACAGACTGGCCGCCATCTTCCAAAAATCATTTGGCAACTTCCCCCTTGCAAGCTCGGGGAGTGATTTATTTTCAAGAATCCTTTAATAAAAATGACAAAACAAAACAGCCCAGCAGAGATGAATCAGCACACTGATGAAATACTGAGAAGGTCAGAAAATCATTTAGTCTCATTTCATCATCGCTGGGGAGCAAAGAACCAAACTCAGAGTGGATAATTTGTGCTAATATGATGTTTGCATCATTGAAAGCATTGTTTGCTAAATGGTGTCTGCAGGGCCTGGTTAGCATGGCAGCTGTTTTGTTGAAGAGCCTTTAATAAACTGTCGCTGAACTACTGTTGAAAACACCCATTTGTTTTACTCTACTGTTTGACCAGCATTTTGATGAACAGCTTTGTTTGGATGGAATGTAATGGAAATGTATTCTAGTCTTTTATGCAGAAGTAAATTAATAATTTTATTAATCAAGAATGCATTAAATTGATCAAAAGTGACAGTAAAAGACATTTATAATGTTACGAACTATTTCTATTTTAAATAAATGTTTCTTTTAAACTTTCCATTCATCAAAGAATCCTGAAAACAAAATGTATCACTGTTTCCACAAAAATATGAAGCAGTGCAACTGTTTTTGACATTGATAATAATAATAATTATAATAAATGTTGCTTGAGCAGCACATGTGATGGAAGGACCATGTGATGCTGAAGACTGTAGTAATGGTAGCTAAAGTAGGTAAAATGTATCCCCAAACTTAAACTATTACGAACTGCCTGACCAATATCAATGTGTATGTGTGTTTTGTGTGTCTGTGTGTATATTTACAGACATTTACAGGAAACAGTGACACAGACACAGTGGTCCAACACAAACTCCCTCACTCAATCAGAACTCAATATATGCGTCTTCTGCCCCTTGAGGGAAGCCCCAAAGGAGGAATGGGTCTACGGCTAGAAGCTTATGGCTGCACATACAGTGAGTGATACCTTACATGAACTGAGATGAGAGTTAATGATATTTTTTTCTATCCCATACCCCTAAACCTCACCATCAAATAAAACTTTATTTAGCCCTTTCCCTATTAAGTGTTTTTTTTTTAATAAAAGTAATTTACTATCCTTTCCACAATGCAGGTAAAACCTGGTGCACACACACCAGAATAAGCATATCAAAAATGCCATTTCATTGTCCATCAGTTTCTATTAGTATATTTTATACCATATTTAAGATCTGAAGAAGTGAGCTGTATTCAGGCATTCAGCGCAGCTTCATTTTCAAATCAACAGGAAGTGTCAGAGCACACAGATCTTGGAAGGTCACAAAAAGTGCAGAGAGCGGAGGGTCTTCTCACATTCTCGTTGATCTCCTTTTGCTGTCCTCCTCAGAGTCCGACGTGGCTGACTTCGACGGTCGCAGTGCCTTACTCTACCGGTTCAACCAGAAGTCTACCAGCACAGTGAAAGACGTGATTTCCCTGAGATTCCGGAGCCATCAGGCAGAAGGGGTTCTGGTTCACGGAGAGGGACAGAGAGGAGATTTCCTCACTCTGGAGCTTCAGAAAGGAAGACTCATTTTGCATCTCAATTTGGGTGAGAGAAAGAGAAGGGCGGGACACAATTCAGATTGACCTTCTATTATTTTATTCACACTCATGCACAAGTGTCTCGATGGATCAGAAAGTGAAATTAGAGAATAAAGAAAAGTACCTGAGACGTAGTGAGTTTAGATGCCTGGCTGAATTCTTTGCTTTTAAAGGGTTAGTTCACCCAAAAATGAAAATGATGTAATTAATTACTTACATTAATTACCAAACCCAATATATCTTTGTTCATCTTCGCAATTCAAATTGAGATATTTCTGATGAAATCTGAGAACTTTCTGTTGGACATCCATCTATCGTATTTCCTTGTCTGTGTATTCTGGTTCAAATATGTAAGGCTGGGCAAAAAATTGCAAGTCATCCTCTCTTTCAAAATCTCCAGACATGTTTACGAAGACTGTTTTATGTGCAGCATGCATCTTCATCTGCTTGTAAACAAGGTGCAGTGCATCCAAGTTCAACGTCAGAACGCCGGCTCCTGCGTCAGCAACATCACATGCATGTGTCGTGGTACTCTCGTGAACGCACGTAGAAGACTGACACGGAAGAGAAGAAATTGTTGAATTAAGTCATTGTTTTTTGTTTTTCTTTGCGCACAGAAAGTGTTCTCGTAGCTTCATAAAATTACAGTTGACTGATGTCACATGGACTATTTTAACAATATCCTTACTACCTTTCTGGGCCTTGAACGTGGTAGTTGCGTTGCTGTCTATGGAGGGTCAGAAAGCTCTCGGATTTCATCAAAAATATCTTAATTTGTGTTCAGAAGATGAACTAAGGTCTTATGGGCTTGGGACGACATGAGGGTGAGTAATTAATGACAGCAAATTCATTTTTGGGTGAACTAACACTTCAAGTTCCTAAGTCTAGGTTCCTATTCTGTCTTTTGCTGTCCCTCTACAGATGACGCCAAGCCTCAGTCTGCTGGACGCTCATCTTCTGTCATGTTAGGAAGTCTGCTGGATGACCACCACTGGCACTCTGTTCAAATTGAGCGCTTTAACAAACACGTCAACTTTACTGTGGATGGACACACGCAACACTTCCGCAGTCCAGGACAGGAGGACACACTGGAGATAGACTATGAGGTGAGAGCTGAGTGTAAATTATAATAAATCTGAATATAATTAATTATTTAGATTCTTTAATTTATGTTATTTATTTATACAATACTGAAAATATGATGACAGGCTATCCCTAATACACAACAGACACTGACACAGCTAAATATTTAAAAATAACTTCTTGTCATAAAAGAACAAGACAATAAGAAGAAAAGAATAAGATCTATTACTGTGACATGAATAAAGATATCCTGTTCCCTTGTTATCTGAAACCATGTTGCAAAATATTGTATTCAATCACTGTCACTGCAAACTTATGAAAGCCTGAAACAATAGAGAACAAAGTCAGTGATTCCTGGAATTTCAGCACAACCAAACAAACACACGCAGACCCTTTGAAATGCACTACCTTTCAAAAGTTTGGGTTTGTTAAGATTTCTTGTTATGTTTTTGAAAAAAGTCTCTTATGCTTAAAAATACAGTAATATTGAGAAATTTTCTTACAATTTATAATGACCGTTTCGTTCTGTTTTAATATGTTAAAAAGTAATTTATTCCAGTGATGGGAAAGCTGAATTTTTAGCATCATTACTCCAGCCTTCAGTGTCACATGATCCTTCAAAAATCATTCCAACATGCTGATTCACTGCTTTAGAAACATTTCATATTATTATCAATGCTGGAAAGGTTTTTTGATTAGTAGAAAGTTGAATGGAACAGCATTCATTTGAAATAGAAAATTTAATTTTGTAGCATTATACAGTATGCATACTGTCACTTTTGATTAATTTAAAGCAGCATTATTACTTTAAGAAAATACTATTTTTGAGTAGTGCAGATGCTCGGATTGCTATCAGCCTAAGGACTTAAGTGTTTCTTTTTTTCTTCTCATTTTCTTCCTCATTTATTATTGGTTACCCATTTTTCTGTCCTTTTCAGCTTTAGTTCTTCATTTCTTTAACCTTCATCCTATCTTCTATCCCTCCATTTTTTCTTTTGTGTGTATAAGTGAGTATTTCAAACATGAGAGCACACATCCCCTGTTTTTTGTATTTTTTTACTCATTCCCGCTTTAATGATTAATGGGTTCAATACTGAATGAAAATTGATACCATTTATAATAGATTAACCTCGTTACAAGCAGCTGAAATATTTACCACTTCCCTCGCTCTCTATTTTTTTTTTTCTTTGTTTTTTTAAAGAGCTTCCGATCTTGACAAGGGCAGCAGAGTATATAATTTTCTTATGGAGATTGTGAGTGCCTGTTTGATACTTTGTGCCATTACTATCAGGTTGCAGCACTCAAAATAACAAGCAAAAGTGCACCTACACCACTATCAAAGCCCAACTAGATATATTCTCTGAAAATACAGCAATCAACTTATTGATTTTATTAAAACTGGATAAAACAGGCCCCGCAAATTAGCCTTCAGAGCCATTCTTTGCAATTCTTTGCTATTCTTTTTTCTATTCTTTGTTACTGATCTCTGGGATATGTGGTTGTTTTGTGTGTGTGTGTGTGTGTGTGTGTTTCTGTGTCCTTATTCAAGCTCAGTTTCGGAGGAATCCCTTTGCCTGGTAAGCCTGGGACATTTCTCCATGAAAATTTCCACGGCTGCATAGAAAACCTCAACTACAATGGCGTTAGTGTTATAGACATGGCAAAAAGACGGAAGCCACAGATCTATACAGTGGTAAGTATGAACTTTTACAAGTGATTTTGTGACTAAATATCACATTTCTACATGTCCATCAATTGTGAGAATCAAATGGCACCTACTGAGATTGAAGGCCATCAAATCTCACTCTCTGTCAAGGTTGTGAGTTGGAATCTCTCTGTTCACAAAGTAATGTGAGACCACAAAAGCTTTAAAAAAAATTGCTTTATAAAGTATGAAGCATAACTTTATTCACACAATAAGCCTTTATATCTAAAGCAATTTACAATTGTGTCACATGGCAAATTACAGTAGCTCTGTGTGTATCTAAAGTGTGTTTCTGCAGTTGTGTGAAGTTGTGTGCATCGCACCATAAAAGAGCCCTCTTTCCCTAATTAACAGGCTGTGAAGTCTCTCCTCTTGTCCATTTCTCTCTCACTCTCTCTGGGTGGTCTAATACACTTATCACAGAAGGGAAAGAAGAGCAGTGCCACATTGTGATCTTCATTTTGTCTTTCCCTCCCTCTTGTCAGAGGCATTTTAAAGGGGTCCTATTATGCTTTTTCATCAACTTTAGTTAGTCTGTAATGTTGCTGTTTAAGCATAAAAAAGATCTGCAAAGTTACAAAGATCAAAGTCCACTTCAAAAGGAGATATTTTATTTAACAGAAATCACTTTTCAAAAACTACAACGAACGACTCGTTTGGACTACAACGCATACTTTCCGGGATTTGTGATATCACAAATATCAACGAATGGGATGAGACCTGGTTGAGCTGCACTAGAGAAGGCAACGAGTGTTACCACTATGTCGGAGACACGCTAGCTTTCCCAAGGCAGACAAACTTAAAGTAGTTACAATCATCCGGGTTTAAATAGCGCACAAATTGATTTGATTTTGACGCAATACTTACACTGAAGCTCGCAGGCGGCTATGGTAAGGGGTCCGACCAGGCTCCAAGTGGTGCCAATCACAACACACACTGGCCCAGCTAACCAATCACAACACACACTGGCCCAGCTAACCAATCACAACACACACTGGCCCAGCTAACCAATCACAACACACACTGGCCCAGCTAACCAATCACAACACACACTGGCCCAGCTAACCAATCACAACACACACTGGCCCAGCTAACCAATCACAGCACATTTCGTATTTCAGAAGGCGGGCCTTCATTTGATACAGGAACTATTCGAGCCGTTCATGCCAGACTGGGGAGAGAGGTATTGTAATAATGTAAAATATGTGAAAAATAATGTGTTTTTCGAACAACCTAGTTTGAGAGCCTGTTCTAGTACACCCCCAAAACAAAATCAAGACTTTGTAAAAGAGCATAATAGGACCCCTTTAAGATAAAGATCTTACTAGCTTATTGCACTACAGTACATGCTGAAGTTCATGCATAGATTGAGACGCTCCACACGTCACTGACTAAATAATGTTCATGCAGTGCTATAGCTATTTATTATTTTATACAATGAACTGTTGTGGTACAATATAATTTAGGGCTGCAGGATATTATAATTATGATTATTAATTGTGATTAACAGGCTGTAGATTAAAATTGTATTGCCTACTCTTTATGTAGATTACACTTTCAAAAAGATCTAAGAACTTCAACTTCACAAAGGTCCTCAAAACGATAGTTAAATTAAACAGCACTACGGCATTCATGCACACAGTTGGCTTTAATGTTCATGTTGTAAATGGGAAACCTTCATCATTACAGTTTTTTCAACTGTTTACACACATTTTCAAAACTTTGCCTCTTTTTATCAAAACTTTACACACAAATCCAAGAATTGCACACACAAAATTCAAAATGCCTCACATGTCTTGCAAAATGAAGCACTGCATTCAAAATATCACAAACACATCTCAAAAGCAAACATTTGAAAACATCTTTGCCATAATATTAATTCCTGTTAGATTTTTGTGTTACATTGAGAATTGTGTGTTGTGTTTTGCAAAAGTGTTTTATGAAATTGAAAACTGAGTCAAAGGCCGAGAATTAGTGTATGGTTTTGCAGATTTGGTGTGCGGTTCTGGTGTTTGAGTGTCAAGTTTCAGAAATTGTGTGACAAGTAAAGATTTTGTTTGCAAGTAGTTGAAAAAAAATGCTCCGGTTACTCACGTAACCTTGGTTCCCTGCCAGAAAGGGCGGAGCCGACGTGTATATAAGTCGGCTCGCAGCGCCATTTCATCAGAATCATTCGACTGAAGCGGCAGTCATCGATTCGTGTGCAGCTCATAGCACGGCAAGTGACACAACGCTTGTTCCTTTATCTCAGGGAACTGAGGTTACGCCAGTAACCGGAGCGTTCCCTTTCGAACGTTCACTTCACGTTGTGTATGGGGAACGAATCCAATCACGCTGTGCTATGAGCAGAAGCAGACTAAGCCGCTCTGCGAGCCCAGTTCTGGAGCACGTATGTTAAGGGCCCCTAGAGAACATGAGCCAACTGAGTCCCGAACGTAGCTGAGGGCTTGGGACATAGCTATTTCCACCATAGGGAGAAATAAGCAGTTTAAACCGATAAAATCCGTGCCTGGAGAGCAAGGACATCTAGGCTGTAAAATCTGGCAAACGTGGATGGCGACGACCAGCCGGCGACCGCACATATCTCACCAATAGAGATTCCGCTGGACCAAGCCCAGGAGGAGGCCATTCCTCTAGTGGAGTAGGCCCTCACACCTATGGGGCATTGCAAACCTAAGGCTATAGCATCAATTATCCAGCGGGATAGTCTTTGCTTTGTAACGGGCAGCCCCTTAGAGCGGCCTCCAAAGCAAACGAAAGCTGCTCCAACTGTCTGAACAGGCTAGAGCATTCAAGATATATTCTCAGGGCCCTGACAGGGCAGAGAACATTGGGACCCTGCTCACCATCTGCAGCGGGGAGCGCCAGAAGGTTAATTACCTGGTCTCTGAACGGAGTTGAGAGCACCTTCGGAACATATTCATGTCTAGGCTTGAGGACAACTTTACAGTCGCTAGGCCCAAACTCCAGACAGGAAGCACTGATTGAAAGTTCTTGTAAGTCACCCACTCGCTTGCCCATTGCTAGTGCCAGTAGCAGAGCGGTTTTCAGCGACAAAGGGCGTAGTATGGCCCAATGTAGTGGTTCGAAGGTAGGGCCCCGTAGGGCCCTAAGGACTATTGACAAGTCCCAAATCGGTACAGTCTGAGGACGAGGATTGTTAATCTCCGGGCGCCCTTCAAGAACTTAATGATCAGATCGTTTCTGCCGATCGAATGGCCAGCTTCGAGAGAATGATTCGCTGTGATAGCTGGCATGTAAACTTTGAGTGTGGAAGGGGCACCCGTTGTCCAACAACTCTTGTAGAAAGGATAACACGTGGGACACGTCACAAGATACCAGGTCCAGGCTTCGTGCAGCACACCAGTCACGAAAGACTGATCATTTGAGGGCGCAAAGGCATCTTTTAGATGGTCACTCAATCTCGCTGGGAGCTGTGTAAGCTCCCGTCGAGGCTCCATACATGAAGGCTCCACAGCTCTGGCCGGGGATGCCAAATCATGCCTTTTGCCTGCAAGAGAAGATCTTGTCTCAGTGGTATCGACCACGGGGCTGCTACTAAGAGCTGCACTAACTCGGGGAAACAAGCCTGGTTCTTCCAGAGTGGGGCCACCAAGAGAAGTGAGCATTTCTTCTCCCTGACCTGTTTGATGACCTGTGGAAGCAGGGCTATCAGGGTGAAAGCGTACAGGCGAGCACTGGGCCAATCGTAGGCCAGAGCATCTCGCTGTATCGAGAAATAAGTAGGGCAGTGAGAGCTGTCTTCTGAGGCGAAAAGGTCTACCTCTGCCTTCCCAAAGACAGACCAGATTTCTTGAACCGTATGAGGATGACTGAAACAGTTCAACCCGAGGCACTCCAAGTGGCTGAGTAACAGCGCTCTGTGAGCGACTAATTCCCGTTCTGATTTGGCCAGGATCAGCCAGTGGTCGATGTAGTTGAGCATGCAGATTCCCATCTGCCTCAGAGGTCTATGCGTCTATGCACTTCGTAAAAGTGTGAGGGGCCAGAGACAGTCCAAATGGTAGGACTGTATATTGGTAGGCCACTTCCTCGAACGCGAATCTCAAGAACGGCCTGTGATAGGGGGCTATGTGGATGTGAAAGTAAGCATCTTTCAGGTCCACTGTTAAAAACATGTGTGCACGAGGATCTGTTTGATAGTTAACATCTTGAATGGCCGGCGCATAAGCGAGCGATTCAGATGTCTGAGATCCAGAATTGGTCTCAGCTCACCATCTTTTTTGGGAACGAGGAAGTAGCGGCTATAAAAGCCTGACACGCTGTTTGCTGTAGGTACTATTTCTATAGCACCTTTTGCAAGCAGTGTTCGCACTTCATGTCAGAGAACCATCGGCGGAGGGTGAACCAACTCCAGGGTAAGGCTAAAATCAGCCAAATGTAGTCCTTCAGGGAACGAGGGTTACCATACGTAACCGAGACGTTATTCAAACAGCGAATTAATTATATATAGATAGTGAATTGTCCAATTTAGTGGCATTTTTGCCCCAAGTCCCCGTGGCCAGGGAAGGCCTTACACACGCTCCGCCTATGCAGAGAACGTGTTCGTTGTCCTGAACCGAAGTGTGAATAATACGTCTGAAACGAGGTTGCCTGCGAGCAAACTGAAACGATTAGCCTCATTGAATTGTTTTTAGAACCCAGCTTGACACGCCTGTTTGAATTACCATTGTGTATGAAATGTGCTATACAAATAAACTTGCCTTGCCTTGCCTTGCCTGGTATGGCTGCCCAGGCCTTGAACCGGGATGCAAGTGGATGTAATTTTGCAAATGAAAGTTCACCACGAGGGGGTGAGGAACTGATATCCACGTGTGTAAATGTGGATTTGTACATTTACATGTAAATTTGCTCTAATTTGCTCTTTTATAAAGCGCCGGATGGCCGCAGGGGAGACTCGTCCTCTGCCGGGGCTCTTCGACGGCGGCGAGCGGGTTGAGCTTCTTTCCGTCTTCTTTCTTCGGCTTCTTGCAGAGTCAGCGAAGAGATGATCCTCATCGCTGAAGGAGAAGATTCTGATGAAATGGAGCTGTGAGCCGACTTGTATACACGTCGGCTTCGCCCTTTCTGGCGGGCTTAAGCGCCATTGGTTTGTGCAGCTACACAAACGTGAACAAATCAGGCTTCAGTAACAGAGCAAACATACAATAATGATTGACCCCTAATTTGCATGTTGATATAAAACTACATAAACCAACTTCAATACATATGTATATATTGAATAAAACACATCTTCAGCATTTTAAACTTGCACTTACCCTGTTTTGCAGTTAATTGTGTGCCTGTTCTATTTGTGAATCTAAGATTGAATCTGATGATTTATTTTGAGATTGTTTGGGTTTGTTCTGTATGGACATACAGTATTAATGTTATTTGTGCAGGTCTTAAAAAGTCTTAAATTAGATTTTAAAAACTTAAATTTGATTAAAAAAAAAACAATTTGTTTGGTCCAAGGCTTTAAACTCTTTACTTAATTTTTTTTTAGCATGTCTATGATAAATATGCTTAGAGAGCCTCTGGTAGAACACTTGCACTCTATCACATGTTTTTCCATGGTTTTGCAATGAGATTATTGTTGACTAGTTTTTCCACAAATCCTCTAAATATTTGAGACAGTATAGTAATAGAAGTCTATGGAAAGTCCCCACGATTCACAGAAACAAACGTGTGTGTGTGTGTGTGTGTGTGTGTGTGTGTAACCTTTCTACCAGCACACATCTATTGCTTCAATAATTCAATTGCGCCATGTGCACATGCCCATGTGCATTAAGTAAGGAAATTGACGACAGGCCGTTGAATTATTAGAAAAATAATGTACACCCGAGGTTGTGATGCGGCCATGACGCGAAGCGGATTTTTCTAATAATTCAATGGCCCGGAGTCAATTATTACACTTATACTACTGTTGCCACACCTCAAGACATCGATCAGATGATATATTTCAAGGCATTCGTCCAGTTTTTGTACTTTTACTTCGCTATTGTGGGATTAATTTCTTCTGCATCTCATCCAACGCCTCGGTTGCTAATTCAAAAACATCATTTTAGACCTAGTAACGGAGACTTGAGCCATTGATAGCAGACTAATGCAGTTAATAACTAAGTAATATATGAGAGAGAGAGAGAGATATCAAGCTTGTTACCTCTCTGAGCCTGTGCGTCTCTCAACAGTGTTTGGAAGCAGCGTCTCTACTAACAGTGAAACTTTAAGTTAATTTTCTTAACGAACAGCGCCGTTGTTACCTTGCTTGTGAGAAATGTCATGTTGCTAAACTATTTTACTGATAAAATCGCCAGAGTAGCGCTAACAACGTTAGTGTGTTTCTGTACTGTAAATTATGTATGTGAGGGAGAGAGAACGCGGGAGAGACAGAGTATGTGCTTTACCCACATAATAAAACGTAATTATGTGGCAAAACATGGAAATGATCTGTCGTTTTTATCATATTGCTTACTATATTTATTTGTCTGGCCAGTGTTATTGTGGGTTTTGGTTATTGTGCTGTTGTAAGACCTTTGAAATAACAGAAATCATTTGGCACAGTGATATGGACATGCAATGTGGTCCAGGGCTGCCTGGAACTACGTTTGCCGTGTGTTTCCCTGAAAATAATTGCACACCTTAGAACATTCGTCAGCCAATCAGATTCAAGCATTCAACGTCCCCGTAGTATAATATTATTTAATCCTCCCTTTTCACTTTCTTCCACTACACCTAGTTTTTAATATGCCTACTCAGTTCTCCTCTCCACATATTCATCCTTTCTTTCATTATCTTCTTCCCTCTCTTCCTTACTAAGGGTAACGTGACGTTCTCGTGCTCTGAGTCTTCCTCAGTCGCTGTGACATTCCTCAGTTCCACGGGCAGCTTCCTGATGCTCCCTGCAGATCACAGTATGGAGAGTCTCTCTGTACGACTGCAGTTCCGCACATGGAATCAGGAAGGGCTGCTGTTCTCAATCCCGCTCTCTCGTGATCCGGACACCATTAACCTGCTTCTGCAGCTCAGCCAGGCTAGGCTGCTTCTCTTGCTCTCTGGAGGGCCACAAAACTCTGCTCAGGTTTTTAGCGGTAAGATGTATATAGGTTTTTATGATTTCCATGCTATGGAAAACATGGATAGAATTGTTGAATCCAGTCATAAAACAGGAATTTACTGTACAATGCTGAATGTCATGGAATTTGACAAAATTTGGATGAATAAAGCAAAAGCAGGGCTGTATACTGTAGTAAATCAAAACACGATATGGACTAGTGTCTGTGAATATTAAAGCGCAAAATGACTATTGAAATATGAATTCTGCATGTGCTGTGTGTCTCAGTTTGGCCTACTGCACAAACTCAAACACGCGTGATGCTCATTATGTTTTCATGGTCTGTTGTCTTACTATATGGCACATGAACGTCATCTCCAGAGCTGCTGTGAGAGTCACTCCACCAGCTTTACACCATTTCAAATCTATTGTCAGATAAAAGCAGAAACTTAAAGGTCTTCATGGCAACCCTTCAAAACGTTTGGTTTAACTTGAAGAAATTGTGACAAATATATTACTGTTGTACAGAATGTAGTACTTAATATAATACTAGCAATAATAATAATACTAATAATAATAATAGTTGATTACTATTAATAAAACTGTATTTTAAAGATTTTTTTTTTTTATGGAATTTGGGGGGTGGGGGAGACAGATTCCATAGGGGAATTTGTAGAGGAACAATAGTTCATTTGTGAATATATTTTTGAGATTGCATACTGAATAATTGTAGATGCACATGATTAAGTGATTCAGTCACTTCATCTTTCATTCTGAGGACTGCCTTGTTATGCCTCCACTGTTTGTGTTTCAGGTCAGAATTTGAGTGATGGACAGTGGCACTCCATAGCCATTGAGGTCAAGGGACAGAAGGTGTCTTTAACAGTCAACAACCAGAAGCCTGTCACTATGGAATTCAGTGGGCTAATTCAGAACATGCAAAGAACAGCCATCTTCATTGGAGGTATAGCATCAGAAATTGAAAAAGCTAGTTTATCCTGATTCTTAGAAAGAGTTGTTGGCTATATTCAAATGCAGAAATAGTAACTTATTTTGATCTGTTATCTACAAAGCTGAGTTCTGAACTAGCCTGATGGCTGCAGGCAAAAAGTGGCTATTACCCAAAACATTTTCTTGAATGCAAGGGACAATTTTCTTCTTCCTTATTAACTCTAACCTCCATCAACTGAACGTTCCTCATATTCCTGAATAAAATACAGGCTTGGCAAGCTGAGCATGTCCTTAGGGTATTTCATTTCACATGCATAGCTGTTATTTCCAAATGTCCTGCTTTTTTCTTGAAGGTTTTTTTTTCTGTTTAGTTCATTCAGGCAGCTCAAACCACATTCAATTACTGTAGAGGATAAATGCAGTTTCTTTAAAGCTGTTATTGAAATCTTTGACTCAAACTTCCAATGTCTTAACTAAAACCTCTAAATCTCTCATTTTGCTTACTTCAGGGACAATGCAGCCCTGCTGAGATTTTATAAGCTGATTTGCATGAATTTCTCAGAACAGAGGTTTTTCTTTGTGCAACTTGGTATTAGTTGTGGATGTTGTTTTTGATTTGAAAGACAGTAAGTTGGGATTTTCCATTATTTTAGGCTGCCCTTTATTCCAGAGCGATTTCAACTGTGAAAACCCCAACAAAGGATATCAGGGCTGCCTTCGTCTCCTTTTCATAAACAGCCATCCAGTCAACTTCCTTCAGATTCAGCAGGAAAGCTTGAGCAACTTTAGCCAGATTAGCTTTGATGTCTGCAACATACAAGACAGGTCAGTTTTCCCCATTGATTTTCTTGTTTACAAAGGTGTCTTACCGTTTTTTTTTTTTTTTTTTTTTTTTTGTGCTTCACTCTGCGTGTCTTGCAATAATGTATGTAGTGATCAAATATGTAATTTGGCTTATATCCAGGCCCAGATGGAATTTACAGAATTTCTTTGCCTTTTATATACACATTTTGGTAGAAAACCTGACAATTCATTATCTTAAACCACTTTATACTCATTACAGAGTATGCTCAACAAGCTGCGTGATTTGAGGTGTTTTTTCATGTCTGTAGCACAAACGTGCAGGATAAGCTACATATGATGATAAAACGCTGGGATGAGAATGAGCAATTTTATTAGTAATTAAGCTGTTTAAAAACAGAAATAATCACTGCAGTTGAACATGTTCATCCCAACAGGTGTTTGCCCAATCTGTGCGAACACGGTGGTCAATGCGTCCAGTCATGGGACCAGTTTTACTGTGACTGTTCTGAAACAGGATACACAGGAGCCACCTGCCACAACTGTGAGTTATGCAAAGCCCCAAAACAGCCCATACCTGCATGATTACTCAGATACGAGCTCGTTTTCACTTTTTTTATTTTTTTATAATAATTAAAACAATAAAAATTGATAATAATACATTGTCAAAGTTATCATTTTGTATGTGCTAAAATTAATTATTTAAAAAATATATTATTAAAAAAAATAGTGCCTAGTAATTGTAATCTACAGGTGCCAACATAGTGTGGGAGAAAGTGCCCTACTAAATTTTTAATTCAATTACTTTAATTCAATTACTCAATTAATTTGTTATTATGTTTCAGTAAAGTTGGCAAAGTCCATCTTTCCCCATATTGTTGTTTTTATCATTCATATAAACTGTATTTATTATTTAAAACTATACTTATTGGATTAGTCCAATGCTGCTTACTTTTTATCTTTAAATCATTAAGATTAATTAGAGTGTACATAATGCATCACTTGACAGCTGCAAGCCTACGTGTCATGTAACGATGATTTGAAACTGCGCACTCACCAATTTAGCCATTTCATTTTGGCAAAATTTTGGCTTTTAATTTTGGTGTCTATGATAGTATTTTGAGTAAGCTGTAATTATTTTGGCAGATATAGTTTTATGGTTCCTTGCTGTAATCAAATTTGTTGGATCAATATGTTCTAATCTGCCGCCACATGCACCGTTTTATCATACGCTCATGACTGTACATGTTCTCTGGAGGAGAGAGAGAGGCACGACAATGCCATCTGTTAGACGTATTGCTTTAAAAGAGCGAGAAATATGATATTTCCTTTTTACAAGTCCTGCTGTGCGATCCACCGTCAGCAAAACAACACGTGCAGCAAATTAGCTCACTACCGCACAGAGGACTTCTCTGTCATGACGAACGGGTCCCAAGTAACCAAGAATTACCTCTGTTTGCTAAATGAACTGTTTGAAATGGTTATGCATTGTTAGGAATATTAATTTAATTTAAATGAAAGAAGACTCATTTGCATGTCAACACTTTTTATGTGTGACTGATTTAACAGATATCTACTATTAATGGCATTCACGCAGAGTGCTCTGTCTGAAGAATACTGCTGAATAGCAAACGTTGACATGTGTAATTTATCTTCTATGATTACACTTTAAACTTCAAGGCAAGAAAACAATGTTCTTGATCTTACTTTTGTGTTTACCTCCTACAGGCTCAGTATCCCTGTGCCAAGCATGCAGATGTGCCAAAATGCATGCATTCTGTAATTAAGCACAACATAAAAACAGCAGCAGATTTATTTCCATCATTTCTATGATTCATCATTTTCAGCAATATATGAGCGATCCTGCGAGGCCTTCAGGAAAACAGGAAGCCAGTCGAGTGCGTTTACAATCGACCTTGATGGGAGCGGACCTCTAGAGCACACTCAAGTCGACTGCACCATGGCAGGTGACTGACCCAATTATGCATACTCAGCCTTGCACATTTCTAGACGTATTATACAGTGATGTTCATCATCTTTCACATTATTGAATGATGAAGCTCAGCACTTCTCATTTACAAACCTAATTCAGTGCATGGACAGGTGTGACCTCAGCATGTGTGGGGGACTGCCTGGAGAAATCACACATCTCATTAGGTGAGTTCAGCATCTCATGCGGCTGCCTAGTTCAGCAGGTTGGATCAGGGTTGGCCAACCTTCCTTCTAGGGAGTCTCCGTTGAGGCAGATTTTTTGCTCAGGCACCACACAAACATCCCTGATTCAGCTAGACTGGATCAATGATGTAGATGATGAGTGTTACCAAGACATTTAGTAGATAGTGTGATATTGCTGTGGTTTAGATGTTTTTGTGTTATCCCAAGACTGTGGGGGAATGATTTGCGTCTACTGATAGCACTGTTTATTTACATTGATATATGATGGATTATTAGTTTTCCATCACTTAATCATAATTTAAGCAATGACTCCTGCCTCGATTGCTAGACACTGTGCACTTGGGTGGTTTGGAGGAGGTTAGTGAGAGATGCAAGTTTTTGCTTGATGCCTGCACAAGTTTAATGAATTTGCCCTTATACAGTATGTGTAATTTTTGTAATAGTAACTTTACAGTGTAAAAAAAAATCTTATATTTAAATATATTAAACTTACATTTACATTTATAGTAAAAAAATAAATTCATTAATAAATTAATTAACATCTGTCAGCTGTGGTAGTTTCATGTATTACAGAATTATAGAATTTATTTCAATAAGTGAGATAATGTTAATATACCAAACTACTTGAACCAAAATCTTTTTTACTGATATGAATGTACGGATATGAATACCATAATACAGATGGCACAATAGTAAGCCACCTGACGAATCAGAGTACATTGTAATTGGTCTGTCCATAAAAAAATGCAATAAACAAACTAAAAAAACAGAAATATAACCTAAAAGACCCTAATGCACACTACTGATAACATAAATAGGACGAAACAATTTAAATAAAATATAATCATTTGTGTTGTGTCACCCATTCTTTTAGTGTGAATTATATGTTAATTTGAAAAACAATACATTTGACAGTATTTTACAAAATAAATAAATAAACCAATGTATATAATAAGGTAACTTACAGTTAACCAATTAACAGGTTTTTACTGTAGCATTTTTACAGTCTTTTACTATAAAAATTACAAGTATATTTTGGAACTATCTAGAAACGAGCTCTTTATAACCAGTTTTGATATATCAAGATATAGCTCCTACCAAGACATGTGGGGGCAAGCAGATGCATCCTCTATCGCCGGGAACAATGTGTTTTCTCACATCTCCTGTCAGGTTTCATCACCAATTTCTCCGACCTTGGTTTTTGGCCTCTGACATTCCTCTCGGCTGCATCAGATGCTAGACTGATTTGTCTCTGAGATAAGACTGTAATACATTATATCATCATGCAGGGAAATTCAAGCCCCATTATGTCAGCAGCAGGGAGGAACGCAGGTGAAGGAAGAAAAAAGTCAAGGAGCATGTCTGCCTGCAGAGACTGGCAGCGCGTACTAGCTGCGACTGATAGCTTCATTTTTCTTAGTTTCATAGGCAGCGGGCTTTGGCTCTGAGGTTATTGGAGCTGCAAGCTGAGCGGAGAAAAGTAAGCACTGGGAAACTGTCATACACTGTGACCACCTGCCGCATGTTGGCGCGGCTAAGCTGGCTTTATTTTACAAAGTTAGCTTTCATTGAGCTTTAGCCAGATTGCAAAGTTAGCTTTGTCAAGGTGAATGCAGTAATAGATCCAAATTCCCAATACAAATAGACCTTTTTCTCTCAGGTGACGCCAACAAGCACTGGCAAGAAAATCGTTTGAAACTGACCTCAATTACAGGAGCTATTAGCCATGCTAATTCTGCAAGACACTGCAAACTGGCACCTTTGGACATCGCATGCAGCAATTTCAATTTGCATAGGGAAAGGTGCTAGCGTAGACTACCATACTCATCATTTCACACTCTCCTGAATGAGTGACCTTCTGTTCTCTGCTTAATATTCATCAGGTATTTGCATACGACTCCATCACTCCGTTAATCTCTCATTTTCATTCGCGAGCACATACGGTCGATTGAGTGCAGACTTGAGAGGGTTGATACACGATCCGAGTCAATGGGGATTTCAGTCTTTGTGTGTGTGTATGTGTGTGTGTGTTTCTTGCACAGAAGATAAAGTTTGGACCGTAGTGGGGCACGATCACATGAGGCCCATCGACATTCGAGGATCCACTCCACGCAGCCCTTTCGTTCTAATCTTCAACTACACCATCTCGCCGTACCATCTCCGCTTGCTCGTGACCTCCTCGGAGCACTGCCAACAGGAAGTGAGATATCGTTGCAGGAAGTCTCGGCTTTTTGACACCTGGGGTTGGTCTTACTTTATTACTCTAGTCTATCTTATTGTTTTTGTGTACTGTAGCGCTAAAATGTTGTCTTTCTTATGAAGTGTGTGATTTATGTTACCTCAGGAATTCTAATCCTCTAAATTCGGCTAATATGTTCCAAAGGAACAAAAAAGTACCTCACAGCTAAATGATTCACAACAGCAGGTTATTACCACAGATATTAAAGGGGCTCAAGTGTGACATGATGACGATGCACGGTGAATGATGGTGTTCACTTAAAAAGCGGTTAGAATGTAATTCTTGTCATGCAGCGATGGTTATGCGACGTGATGAGAGCATTTGAATTGCAAAGGCATGCATAAAGCCTTAAAAAAGATTATACACTGGTATGCTAATTTATTCCATATGTTTTTTCTCACCCCGCTTTAATACTTTTGACTTTGCAGGGTTGATATGCTTAGGCTTTTAACTGAGTTGGAGTTAACTTCTCCTCAAACACTCGGCTCATACTTTAGGTTCATTTCGATTTAACGGAAGGAGATCCAGTGAAGCCTTTGAGCAAAAGATCAACCTTTGATCAAACATCGCTCAAATGGTGAACCTCCAGCACTAGACATCTTGCATATCTGATTGTCATTGGCTAAGCTCTTGGCCAGATCTCTGCACTGCTGTGATAGCAGATGTCAGGTCACGCACATTGTAGCAATACTATAACAGCTACTTGACTGACAGGAGTCTCAGTGCCTATTACTGATCAGCAAGGGCAGGAGACCAGATGTCATCATGCATGACTAAATTACATTAGACTCCAAACAGTGTTGTCATTATTTGCATAATTATTTACTGCCAGATAAGTAAAAAATATTCTTATCCTTGGGGCATTTTGTCCATTTTCAGATGGAACTCCTCTGTCATGGTGGCTGGATAGAGACGGAGTGAAAAGAACATATTGGGGAGGATTTCTGCCTGGGGTCCAGCAGTGCTCTTGTAGTTTGGATGGCAACTGCAGGGACATGAATTATTTCTGCAACTGTGATGCAGACCAAGACACCTGGTAAATCTTAATTTCACGGTGAATCACATTTGCCAGTTTTGTGTAACAAAACTAGCCCAATGGCCAGTCAAAAATAGCCCAATGACCCTAGCCCAAAATCCAAAAATACATATTTTCCAGTCACTTTTATGTTTTATACATAAACACAGTTTGTTTTTTATAAAGGACCTCACAAAAGCTTCCTCTATAAGTATCCATCTCTCAGAAAACGTAACATCGAGCACAGTTTTAACATTGGTACAATATATAACATTTCAATACAAGCATTTCAGTCACATATAACTTATTTAATATGTCAAACAACCCGTGGTGAGAAAAATCAATCGGCATCCTTTTAAAAGTAACCCAATTTCCCGCACACATGGCACTGAATGAACAGTTTTCCCTACTTTGCAAGGTAACAGGATTGTTATTTTTCATTGAATGAAAGAAATTTGAGGCAGATTGCAGAGATTTAGTCGATTAAATTACTGTATAGGAAGTGCACTTTAAAACCCTTCATTAGTTTTTCTGTTAAAGTGTCCGAGATGCTGCAGAAAAAGCTTAATACTCGCCATTGGGCAAGTATTACCGTTTTTTAAGCAACAAGTGAGGCACACTCGCTCCTCAGAGTGCAATCTTCTACCTCAGAGAGAGATTAAAAAGACTTTCTCCTAGCCTTTCGCTCATTACCTCATCTCTTGCACATTCTGATTCTCTCATTCTCTTTCTCCGGGGGGGGGTAATATGGCTCTCTACTGAATACATTTTCATATGTCAAAATGCAGAAGAGATTGACCTTTTTATCGAATTCAGTGCACAATTCGTTTTTCAACACGCTGTGTGCTTTCTTGCCTGTCCCTCTGCTGCAGGATTTTTCTGGAACTCTGCATCTTTTTACCAGGAGTCCACCTATCTGCATTTCCCCACCCTCCAAGCTGAACTGAGTGTCGATATTTCACTCTTTTTCAAAACTAGTGCTCTCTCAGGAGTCTTCTTGGAGAATCTGGGTGTCAGAGACTTCATAAGGCTGGAACTGAGTTGTGAGTGCTTGTTTAAACATTACTTGCAAACAAAAATGTCTGTTTTTCTTATTCTTTTTTTTTTTTTAAATAAAAAAAAAAAAATCTAAATTGTAAGTATAAATGTAACTAGCAAAATTGCATAAGAAAAATAACAGTTTTATATAGAAAAAATACCTTTATTTATTTGTTTGTCATTTTAATTGTAAAGCAAATTACATAATAGTTCATTTTAAGGATAATATATTTGGTAATAATATATAATAAATAAGGTTTCAGCATGTTTGTTGTGAAGAAGTGCTCAGAGGCCCTTTCAAGAAGTGCATTCAGTGAACTTTCAATGAACTTCATTGTAATACTTTTGTTTAAACCACACAGGGTGATTTTTTTTTCTTCCTTTCTTTCTCAGCTCCATATACAGTGAACTTCACTTTCGACCTAGGGGACGGACCAATAATCCTTACCGTTCATTCACCTGTAGCTTTGAATGATCGTCAGTGGCATTATATTCGTGCTGAACGAAATGTGAAAGAAGCTTCTCTACAGGTTGACTCCCTGCCGCCGAAGCTAAATGAAGCACCATCTGAGAGACCCTACCGTCTTCAGCTCAGCAGTCAACTCTTTGTGGGTGCGCAGACATGTAATCGAGCAAATGTCACTAATAATGAAAAAATAACACTGTGTGTACTTTAACTTGAGCTAAGAATACCTCTGGGAACAGAGAAAATTGAGATAATTTAAATAGAAGGAATCTGTGATCATATTCATAAGTCAGGAACCATGGTGTTGATAAATGTTACAGGGTTGAAGATCAGTGCAAAAATATTATTACAGTGCAAGCATTTCACTCGCAATTTTGCAACTACAAATAGATTTGTGCAAACTGTAAAATGTATTTAGAAGCATGTGTGCAAATAAAAAGTAAGTCCTTGCAGGTCCTTAAAAGTATTCAATTCAGTTTTATCAAATTTAAGGTCTTAAAAAAAATCATACATTTCTTAAACTGTATAACAAATTAATTATTATAGAGGTCTTAAATGTGGGGATGGAAAAACAGGAATCGCGTTACGGCCTAATGTGATTATTAAACTTAATTAGTCTCTGAATTAATGAAATGAATGCAAGCACTGCACGTTTCAAAGTAAAAATGTGGCATGTTCTTGTGGGTGTTCTGTGGGCTTGCAGTTTCAAAGCAGTTGCAATAAGTGAATTCCGCACATTTATACCCAGCTATTGCTTATGATCATCTGTTCATGAATTATGACAAAGTTTTAACTTTGTTTTTTTTATATGTAATATGTTCTAGATGCTTTTAAGGTGCATATTTTATCTCCCTCATTTGTTTGAGTGAGCAGCTGGAACTAGTAAAGACCTTTTAAAATAAGTCCTGATGTATTTTGGGCATGTGTATAATCAAAAGTCCTGTATTGCACAATAAACAGCATCTGACATTTAGTTCAACATTTAAAATATAAATAATTACATAATTATTAAATAAATACAATTTGAAGGCAAAATATTTAAAAACCTAGTGTACTTTTTGTATTCAAATAAATAATTTAGCTTGTAAATGTCTCCTTATATCGCTTAAGGAAAAACTCATTATTTTATAAATGTTTTATTGTACCCATAAAGTTGTGTTAAGCCCTCACACCAAACCACATTATTTGCAGTCAGTATGTTTTATGACTAGAACAATGCTTTTCAGTAAACTTATCTCTGTTAAAAACATGATCAGGAAATGTTATGCTGTCACTCCCTTAAATACAGTGTCACAAAAAGCAGATAATTCTTTTGAGAGTTCAACAGAACATGCAGAGTAAAAGACAAATAGCGTATTTACAAAACCTTTATAGAATATGAAGGCACGATAATGTAATGTCATAAAAGCAGGTAAAATTTTAACCTATAAAACCTATTAATGTGTAGTGGTGATGAGTAGGAACATGTAAATTGATGTTAAAGTATGGTTATATATTAATCAAATATTAAAATTTTTGTTTACACACTAAACAGAGTAAAACTATCAAATAATAATATTAAATTCAGGTAATTAAGTCAGTAGCTGGGACACACATGGTACATAAATGGAACTGTTTTTCTGAGAATGACACTATTATGGACTTCAAAAGCCTTGGCTTTCTACTTTGCCTATGACAATTAATCATTGTATTCTCCCCATTAGGAGGAACAGCTTCTAGGCAGAGGGGATTTCTGGGCTGCTTACGTTCCCTCACCATTAACGGGGTTACCCTTGACCTGTATGAACGTGCAAAGACCACCCCGGGGGTGAATTCCGGCTGCCCGGGTCACTGCACCAGCGACAGCGTCTGCCATAATGGAGGGAGATGTGTGGAAGAGAGGAGCAGTTACACCTGCGACTGCACGCAGACAGCCTTCGACGGGCCACACTGCAGAACAGGTAGGGCTGGGTATCGAGTTTGATACTTTTTAGGCACCGACCCCAAAAATATGTTTTTCCTATGTCACGAAAATAGGTAAATCCGGACCTGCCATCTAATGTGTGTTTTGGCCATGTAATGTTGCTGAAATTAAATATGTTATTACCTCTGAGTCAGAGCAGTGATCATGGCAGAGAGAACACAAGCAGACAGCGCTGGAAGCTGCTAATGCCCATCAGTAAATCAGTGGAAAATAAATAGAAATCATGATTCTGTCTGAGCTATGCGTTTTAAAACGAACACTAACTAGTGTAAATGTAGCCTAACAGATGTGTAAACTGAAGACTATTTGAGCTTTATTAAAACTATTTTGCACTGATTTATTGTGTTGGTTACATTTTGTTCCTTTGTGCAGTGGCTCAGGAGATGAGTCTTTGAGTTTGTATAAACATCAACAAGCTGAAAAATAAAACCAAAGTTTTTTTTTTAGATAATGTAATCTTGTTAAAATTGATTTCATAGAATTGGTATCGAAAAAAGTATCGTTCAGGAACCGGTATCGAAGTCAAGGTATCGGTATCGGTATCGATATTGAAAAATTTTGAACGATACCCAGCCCTAAGAACAGGTGAGGTTACAATGGCCTCCGGGCGAGCGCGCTTTCATTGGTCTTTTTGCACCAATCAAAAAGAGCTAAATGAAACAGGCACTCTGGACTTAAGCACGCCTCAGATGCTTGTAGCTCTCAAGTGTTGGCATTCCTGATGGTGGAAGTGTTTTTATTGGATTTACACTGTAAAATCACACAATTAGATCAAAGCCTACAGAGAGAAATTAAATCAAGACTCTATAGGAGTTGATATATATCGGTTTAATCCAAGGCTTGCCGTGAGCTGTTGGATGTGGCATGGGTCTCACAATAGGAGACGTCTGTACCAAAAATGTGTACAAAAGGAATGAAAGTCAACCCACTATATACTCTATAGAAATTTCTAAATTTTATCTGTTTTAGACAACTTTTCGTTTTCTATTAGATCAGGAGGGTCAGCCACCGTTGGATGACAACATGCCCTTGATGGTGTATTAACCTTGAATTCATTGAGGCTGGGCTGACAGGCCTTGGCAGAAAAGCTTTAACTGACAAATGGAATTTAATTACAGCGGCCATTCGTCTGCCTCATACCCATCCAGCAGCCTGTCCGTCAGATTAGTGATGTAATGGCTTTGTTTCTTTACAATGCGATGTCGCGACGGGTCCGCTCAAGCCACGGCTGTTTACTGCTAACTAGAATAGATTACCAGAAAATGAGAAGAGACAGACAGAATCAGTAGGACACCTCTCCGCTACGGTCTCAGCTGTGGTTGGGGAGGAAACAACGCTAATGTTGTTGTTTTTTATAGCTCAAATAATGACAGATGAGACATAGAGTTTGCACGCAATCTGAATTTGCATAGAGATGATGATGATGATATTATCAGTGAAGTTCACCAGGGACTGCTTTGTCTCTCTGTGTCCATGTCCATCACAGCTCTAGCAGCTTCCTTCGAAAGTGGATCTTCAGTCCTGTACACTCTTCAGGAGCCATTTTCCGGAATACTGAATGAGGAAGCCAGAAGATCACCGGCCGGTTTCCATGATGCTGAAGTTACCAAATCTCAAGAGAAAGTGTCGTTTGGGTTCTTGACGCATCATGTGCCAGCCTTGATCCTGACAGCGCAAACTGTGGACCAGCACTATATGGCTGTTATGCTAACGTCAAATGGTACCAAGTCATATTCTAAACCTCTAAACCTTGGGGAATAGTCATAATTTGCTCATCCTGTTACAAACCTATATCAAGCAGGTTAAAAGTCATGCAGGTTTAGAGGGACATGAGAATGAGAACGAGTAATGTGTGTGTGTGTGTGTGTGTGTGTGTGTGTGTGTGTGCTTGTTTATGCTACATTGTGGGGACCAGATGTCCCCACAAGGATAGTAAAGCCTGAAATTTTTGACATTGTGGGGACCGGCCTGCAGTCCCCAAGAGGGAATTTTTTTAAATAAAAAAATAGTAAATGATCTGAAAGTGTAACAATGCGAACAGGTTTTCTGTAAGGGGTAGGTTCAGGGTTAGGGTTGGGTTAGGGGATAGAAAATACTGTTTGTACTGTCAGTATAAAAGTAATAGAAGTCTATGGAAAGTCCCCACAATTCACAGAAGCAAACGTGTGTGTGTGTGTGTGTCATTGGTGTGCGGTGGTGTTCTGAAATGAGGAGGCAAAGTTCTCAAAGTTTTTTTTTTTAATCAAATGTAAATTCATGTCTCAGTCACATTTTCTTGTTTAAATAAACATTACTTACACTATCAGAAAAAAAAACCAATTCTATTTTATATTTTTTCATTAACGATGTAATCAATATTCTATTTATTAAAGCTAAGTATGAATCTCATCAGGTTGGTGTTTTTAAGCATTTTACATTTATTCTAAAATAATAACTCAAGGAAGTAACAATTTAAACAATATATTTTATTTGTTAACTTATGTTCGGCTTTTGTTTTTAATAGTTAACTTTTAACTATTTTCAAATTTTTCGGGTCATCAGTCATCAAAGTTCAGTAAATATTGGTCACAGATGCAGAAATTTACTTTAAATTTTACCAAGCTGATTATTCACTAAAAACTTGCACAGATCATGTTTTCAGGCCATTTTAAGTCTTTTGACGTAACAAAGTGGTTATATCTAAGTGTGTGAGTTGTTTACTTGCTTTTTTAAATCAGTCTTCCCATTAACGCCATTATGTCATTCAGACTGATTCGCGAACGCACACGAACACAAGAGGCGGGATTTATCGCATGAACCAATCACAGCCGAACATAACCAGTCATATCCAATCATATGGAGGCATTGCCTTCTCTCACGTGACTTTCCCCCATTCCTTCTCAATTACCCCCCACCCCCACTCACGGTATTTGATCAAAAATGCAATAAAGCCCATAATATTGTTACATGTTCATTTAAAATAACTGTTTTTTATTGCAGTATATTTTAGTCATTATTCCAGTCTTCAGTGACACATGATTCTTCAGAAATCCTTCTAATATGCTGATTTGATCAAACATTTCTTATTATTATCAATGTGCTGCTTAATATTTTTTTCCAGAATTTCTTGATTAACAGAACAGAATATATATATTTAAAAATTATCTTTTGTAATTCTATAAATGTCTTTACTGTCACTCTTGATTAAAGTAATGGGTCCCTGCTGAATAAAAGTTTTAATTTCTTTAAAAAAGAAGTACTGACCCCAAACTTCCAAATGATAATATGTGCAATATCTGTCTTCCTTTGAGCTCTAAAAATGAAATTATAGCTATGCAAATTAGGTTTTTACAGAGCAGTGAAAATACATCAGAGTTGTTCCCTTAATCCTAAAAGTAGTCAAGGAAACAATTTTTTTTTGTTTGTTTTTTTGCTTTTTTCTTCAATTTCACACCCTGTACCTTTGTTGCTGGCGTGCTGTCAGCATATGCACATATGCTCTTTTTCTCTCTGTGTAAGACCCACACCCTTTACTTAAAGAGCAAAAGGCATCTAAATGGAAGGCTCTTGCAACCAGGGCCGTTGCTAGGAATTCTGGGCCCTGTGCACTGAAAAACCTTAAGGATTTAGAGAGGATCTGTAAAGAGGATTGGATCAAAATCCCTCCTGAGATGTGTGCAAACCTGATGACCAACTACAAAAAACTTCTTACCTCTGTGTGTCACAGTATGCTACTGTGAGGAGCACGGAGCGAGGAACAAGGAACGTGGAGAACGCAGGAGAATTGCGATACACAGACTTTAATCTTCACACAGCAGTCAGGAACACACGTAGCACATCATTGACAAACAAATACAAATAATAGCAGACAGAGAACTAAGGAACAGACAGGGCTTATAAACACGTGGAATGCAATTAGGGAGAACAGAAACAGGTGTGGAGCTAATTAATCAAAAACCATGGAAACTAACTAGGCAGGGATGATGGAAACACAGAAAACAAAAACAAAACCGACCATAAACGTGATATTACTCCCCCCTCCCAGAAGGGGGGGGTGGGCACCCTGGAGGCTGGTGCAGGACAGGGACACGGGAAGGCTTCCAGGGCGGATCAGAGAGCTCGGGGAGCCATGGCGGAGCAGGCAGACTAGGAAGCCATGGCTGAGCCGGCAGCTCAGGAGGCCATGGCGGAGCAGACAGTTCAGGTTGCCATGGCAGAGCAGGGGACTTAGGAGGCCATGGCGGATCAGGCAGTCCAGGAGGCCATGGCGGATCAGGGGACTCAGGAGGCCATGGCAGAC